CGATTCAGGCTGATTGTGATAGTGCTCAGAAGGGGAAGTGACTTTGCACGGAGTTATAAAACATGATAATACATTGTTTTGGGTGAATTTTGCACTTTAAAACCAAAAAAAGGTAACACGGTGATCTAAATGTGTTATGTTTTAGCAGTTAATACCCCACAGAAGTAAAATAAACCATCTTCCTTAACTGTGCAAAGTGCAAGGTACATCAACATGCCTCACCCTTTGTTCGGTTTTCCTGAAGGCAAAACTAAAAGTCCTGTCCAACTGTAAACTGCTTCTACAACCCCTCCAATCATCCAATCCACTTTTCTGTCCGCAAGTGATGTTTTCTGGCATCTGCACCTCATATTTTCGATACTTCTCATTTTGTAGTTTTGGCCATGTCAGAGCTCCACATGCAGCCAGCACATCTGTCCGGTTTTTGTTATATTCAAACTGACAGCCTAACCCCTGTCCTTACTGGAGGATCAGATTCCTTTGTCAAGTATTCAGCCCCAGTCAGCGGTGAATGAAAAGTAATGATAATATTCCATCTTTTGTATTGGATTTGTCATGGATTTTTTGCGATTTCTCATGGTTCAACGCCAGAAATATCTCCGCAAACCAAGAATTATGGACAATTTACATCAATCTGCTGAGTACAGTCACCCAGGGGTCAAAACTGTAATAGTTGCCTTAGGGGCCCTATGATCCTAAAACAATAGTATTTTAGTCATCATTTATTCCCTCTACAAATGTATTCTGGTGGTCAGGTGCAACCTCTGTAGTCGCACTTGCCTTGGGGGTAATTTAAAGAGACTTGGCAGCTATTCTTTGCCACTTTGCTGCTCTGATGACAAGCTGTCCAAACATTTCAAAATTTGGATTAGATTAAAGATCTTATATTAAGCAAAAATGACTCATATGAAGTTTTAGTCATGTTATGTTACCTCCTCAAAAACATACCTGGACATGTTTGACTAACTCTTTATGATTAGTCTGTCTATATCCCAAAAGCTTCCGGTGGCTCTGGGCTGACTGGCACGTGCCAATGCACGCGAGTGAATGCATGAAGCGCGGTCTAGTGTATCATGTGATCACTTTGACCAATCAGAGCGAGAGGAGCTAGAGCGGAGCGGAGTCAGAGCTAACAATTATAAAGCGTTTTTTTAAGACAACTGAAGGATTTTGAGCTGAGAAAAAGTTTATGATCTAAAAATAGATAAAAATCGCCACAAAATCTGACATTTTTGAAAGTTGTGGGTGCCCTGTCAGCCAAACAACAGCAGTTTGTGATTACATTGCGCTCTATGAGAAAAATCCTATCTCAACCCATAGGATTTTTCCCACTGAAGTTCCAGTGAGTGGCCACTACGTCAACTGGAGGCAGCTGCAAACTAGCAATACCCTATCCAGTTATTTTAACAGATCCATGGGAAGGACCCAAAAAATGCAGAACTGTATTTGCAAAAAAGTTTAATATAACAAAGAGCAACCAAACACAAAAAATCTAAACAGACAAGACACTTGATAATGACAAATGAACCAAACAACCCTAACCCTGACAAAGGGCAAAGGAGAATACAGGGTATACAGTATATGCACACAGATGAATGAGACGCAGGTGAGACACATTAAAGCAGGGCAAACAATCAATACAACAGAAAGTAATAACCAACACACACATGACTAGAGAAATACAACATAAAACTGGGTCAAGAATAATAAAATAATTCAATGGAAATTAACACCATGACAGGAGTGGTTTGTTCAGCAGAGATTGACCATTCCAGGGCTAAAATCATCCAAATGACTCTAGTGAAGGTGTATGGAGTTTAAAAACACTTCCTGTATTAACACATGAGATCACAAGGTGGAACACAATGTTTTCAGTGTGAAGAAGAAGAACACAACCTAAAGATGCAGGTTGCGTGTGTTGAACATGTGTGAATGAAACAAAACACAACTCCAGGTCTGTTTGTGATGAGGAAACAACATTATAACAGATCAGAAAATACTGAGGGCCCTTTAAATAAAAAGGAAATATGAAAATGCTGACCTAACATGAAATTTAAGCAAAAGATTTGCCCCACATTTTACCTTGAGCCTATTGCTATATATAAACAATGGAAATCTGTATGTCAAACACAATTATGGACAACATGACTTTATACAACCAAGCACAGGCCTATTCTGTTCTGTTCAGAGTTCATACAACATGAGGTTAGATTACTCTTTTGATTTCCTGGTTGGACATGGGCATATGGTATAGTATTCCATAACTTTTATTATTTGAAGGAAGATTTTGATACTTTGCAGTGACATTGGGCTGGGGTTGTTGTATGTGTATGTTTATTGGTGGAATGTTCAGCAGTTACCATGGTGAAACAACACACACATTAGTAAACATTGTCAAAATGTTTTAAGATTGTCTAAAAAGTTTATTGATTGAGTTTCAACAAAAAAGCTGACAGTGACTAACTTAGACTTATCTAAGCGCAGCAATCAGCTCACTTGTATTTCCAACCAAGTCAGCTCTTTCTGGTCAGATTGTGTTAAAACAAAACTCAGATTAAATGGCAAAAGGAGAAATTCAAGTCAACTCGACAAAACACTTCGACCAAATAAACTTGTCCAGCTGACAAAATGAATTTCTCCTTTCGCCATGGATTCTACCTGGATGATTTTCCACAAAGATTTTCCACAAAGTTCAGATTAAAGTCCAACTTGAGTAACAGAGCTTTAGACACACTAGTGCTTTCTGTTAGCTTCACACCCCCAAGGAATGTTGATAACAGCTGCAAAGTATCACTTGTTTGTGCTGCGTGTTGATTGTAATTCATTTTGGCTGGAATTTTGTGCATGAATAAGATAAAGAGGGATTCCTTTAAGAAGTCATCACTATTTCTTGTCATTTTCTGCTTTTATTTGAACCCAAACTGCCTTTTATAAAACCATGATAAATATTCAGTAACGATAGGCCCATTATATTATCAAATAAAGTAATAGCAATGAGAAAAAACTTGAATCACATGCACTTTGAAGTTTGCCTGGCCACACTTTGTAAATTTACAGAAATTTACAAAAACATGTGTGGGTCTGGTTTCAGATGGGTGTAATCAGAGAAACATTTGTGTCAAAACAAACACGGTGGATTAAAGAAAAAGAAAAAAACAATAACGCAGAAAACAATAATTATACTAAATGTGATTGAATGATATGAGAATTCTGTAGTGATGTCTTTTGCGTTTGAGAGACATGTGATGCAAATTAACCTCTGTGAATGGAGCTTTGTGAACAAGTCGGCTTTTTAAAATGGTTCCTTAATGTGAACTGTTGGAGTCAGATCTCATTTTTTAAAAGAACTAAATCCTTTTCTTTCTAGTTTGCATGCATTTGTACAGTGATTAACGCTGAACAACAAGAATCAGAACAGAAACAGAGCAGGCAGCACAAATGAGAGCTTTGTGCAAAAAAATAAAAATAAATAAATAAAATTATGTTTTTAAATTATTATTATTGTAATGAAAAGTTTTATTTAAATCATTTGTAACTTTACAGGGATAAGCACAAACTCACAGTCTGACTCTTTTCTGTGTCTTGGCCATTTCGGATTAGTTTGTAGATAAAAGGTTTTCTCACATTGGCTTCTATCATATAAATGTAAATGCAGTTTTTGACAGATTATCTATATGAGAAGAGGGCCTTATTCAATTTATGTTTATTTATATAGCACATTTAAAACAACTTCAACTGACCAAAGTGGTTCACATTAAAGGTCTGCACGGGACAGAATTTTCAGTCCCGCTCCCACCTGCAAGTCCCGCAGGATGGGAACCTTTGCTTCTTTAAGCTCTATAAAACACGGAGAAGCGAAAGGAATTGGGCTGTGTATGGGAGGAGGCGTGGTGGACGGTCCGGCGGCATGGTTAAGTCCTAGCTAAATTATGTTTTAGTCCTGTTTTAGTCCTGTTTTAGTCTTGGTTTTAGACCTGTTTTTAGACCTGGTTTAGTCCTGGTTTAGTTCTGTTTTAGTGGAGCAGCCCCCACGTGACGTATGGGAGGAGGGACTGTCCACATGGCATAGGGGAAGGGGGGACGGTCTCTGCGGTGTACGGGACGGAAGGGGGACTGTCCGCATGGCATACAGGATGGGGGGGGGACTATCTAGTCCAGAGCCTAGTTTTGGGCATGACCAACAGGAGCTGGTCAGCTGATCTCAGGGCTCTGGGCAGAGTACGGAGCTGCATAGGGCTCATGTTCATCCTGGATAACCCCCAGCACCCCCTGCACAGCACCATTACTGGACAGGAAATGATGCATTCAACGCTTCACTATAATTTGATAAATTTAGATAAGTTGATGTTATGTGTTATATTATGTATTGTGTTATGTATTGTATGCTTCCTGAAATTTTCTTTGGGATAATAAAGTATCTATCTAAAAGAGCAGTGTTTATAACAGCTCTTTGAAATGATCCAAAAGATTCAGACTCATAAATGAGCCAAAAGTCCCAGCACTAACTGGAGCGCCCCAAGTTAAGATGTTTGTCATGCTTTATGGTTTGATTCCCAGTTCCTGATGTTCATAGAAGTTTCACAATGAGTAGAATTAAAGAGTTTTAGGGTTTTTCTCAAGTGGAAAGAGATGGACCCACTAAAGACCCATATATAGTGCACCTTTAGGTCTTTACACTCGTACACTATAGCTCCCCAATGGCTCTTATATTCCCTTTTCCTCAAGTTCCTCCTTCCTCCAAAACCTTCTCAACATTTGGCGCCTGTAACATTTTAATGGTCAATCACACGCTGTTGTGCAAACTCATCCCAGATTTAAACCATAAACAATAAGCCAGTTTTTTTGTCTCAAACATTTGCCTCTGGTTAAGCTCTGCTCCAGCTAAACAGAGTGGTGACAATGTACTAGGACTACTTTTCGCTCTAAACCATGCACAGTCCATAACTCCTTCACTAGCTCCAAGGGCCACTGTGGGACTTTGTGAGTGCGCAGGAGTTCACACATGACATGAAAAATGAGGTACTACAAATGGCTGTGTTACTAAAGCGGGTCTGTTTTGTGTCTTTTTCTTTGCCAGAGAACTATGGAGGATACGAGAACCAGCTTTTCAAAGGTAATTAGCCGCATAATAGTCCCCTAACATGTGCCAGTTTGTCTTGAGTTACATGCAGGGTATTACATCTGTATAAATGAGCAGTGGCAGCAGTATTAGGTAATAGTGTAATGTGTTTGTGGTGATGGATGTTAATTTGGCTGTTTCAGATGAAGATTTCACAGGAGAAGAGGAGGAAATACCTTCGTTTAGAGGTAAGAATGAATAATTTAAATGAGCGGGTTTCAAGGTGTGGGATGCGTACCTGTAGATGTATTAATGCAGCTTTGTCCAGTTTCAAGTCTTCAATCCATATTGTGTTAGACTAATTAAAACAAACAGAAATTTTCACCATCGACTTCAATGATTTTGCTCCTCAAACGGTATGATGGTGTCTCTTATTTACAGTTTTATTCAGTATGTATGTCTTATATACATACATACTGTATACACTACCGGTCAAAAGTTTTAGAACGCCCTCACTTTTTCAGTTATTTATTGTGCAAGTCCAAGTCGTGCAAGTCCAATAAAAAACTCAAAATGGTAAATCGAAACGGTACAAAGGTAAGTGCTGAACTAGCCAGATTCATCAGCCGATTTCACGTCGTGGAAACCGTCTGACCTCGCAGTGTTAGAATTCGTTCGCTCAACGATAGGCAGGTAAATTTTTTCATTTAACCAATCTCTACTATTTGGTCGTGACGTACGTAATGCGCTGCTAAAGGTGCTAACTGGTATATTAAGCTTTTCCCAAATTCCGTAGGAAGAAGGGCAATAACATCTTTACCCTTGATAAAATTCACCAAACATTCTCTTCGTTCCGGCTTTAAATTCTCGATCTCAGTTGCCAATACAGAATATATGGCTCTTCGCTGATTGGCTGGTGCTTGGACTCACACTTCCAGGTTTTTTGCAAAAACTATCTAGTGTATTCTGATTCCTGATCTAGTCACTGGAGAGAAATTAAATTGAGCGGAGGCATTAGGTAGCACCAGCCTGGCTAGTAATGAACAGCCAAGTCCAAGCTCTGCCAAAACTACCTCAGGAAAAGAGAAAAAGATGGTAAAGCTTGAAAACATGGAGTGTCCAGCACAGTCTCCAGACTTAAACCCCATCGAGCTGGATTTGGGATGAACTGGACAGAAGAGTGAAAGCCAAGAAACCTACAAGTGCCACACATTTATGAGAACTTCTGCAACAGACTTGGGAAGAACTTTCTGAAGATTATTTGATTTTTACTGAAAAAAGAACGAGCCACGAGTGTGTTCAGCTTTTATATCTGTGAAAGGTGGACATTTTCATGAATCAAAAGTTTAGAATATATTTTGGTCAACAGTAAACAGTAAAAAAATGGAAAAAGTGTGGTGTTCTAATAGTGTATATGTCGTACCTTGTCTTACTTTAAACTTCTGCAATATTAAACTGCTTTCAAATATTTTACCTCTAACTTTTCACAGCATTCTCAACATGGGCAACTCTCCATCAGCATGCTTCACAGTTAACACAAACTTAACTGATTGAGTGAGCAGAAAAAACAACTTTAAACCAAGAAGTCTTCCAACAGTCCAGACTCCAGCACTTTAAAACTGGCTCTCCATGCAGCCAATCTCAATGGCGCATGCACTGGATCTAACTTAATCCTGCTGTTTTTAGGGAACAAATTCCAAGAGTAGACCACTGATTAGTCTCAAAGGCTCCTATTATTGATTTTCTGTTTTGAGGACAGCAGGAGAGATTGTATTGACAGTTTGCAACTGTCATCAACATTCCCTGGGGGTGCGATGTTAACTGTAGACAATCTGAATAGAAAGCACTGACTTAGCTGGAACTACAACAGGTGAGATGATTTGTGCGGTTAAATAAGTTACTCTAAATAAGATTACACATTACACAAGTTTTTCATTTAGTCACACTCTCTTTTTTGTTGAAAATCAAACCCAAATGGGACCAAGAAAACTCATATCGATCACAGGCTCTTGAAATATGTAATCTGCTGATTATTCCATCAAAGACATAGAAGCAGAACACCCCCAGCATCACTGCAAAGTATAAATATTAGGGTGACCAGAAGTGCCTATTTACTGTACCTGGGACAGTCCCAGTTTTGAGTCCTGTGTCCCCTGTCCCAGCAGATTTATACAAAACCAGTGATTTGTCCCAGTTTTATACAAGGAATGTCCCAGGTGTCTCTATTTTTGACCAATATGATCCTGCCAGGGGTAAAAAGAGACAAACATTGTCATTTGTTGAGGTAAAATACAGAAGAATGAGAACTCTGCACATTAATTACTTGAGACAGGTGCATTGGAGGAGAGGGGGCAGCCCAAGAACATAGAGAAAAATCCTGCACACTGTCTTACTTGCAAATTGTGAAATTTATTCGGACAAACCGTACAACGTTTCGGCACATGGTCTTCATCAAGCAAACAGAATGAGAGCTCAGGTGTAGATCTTAAATAGGGTGTGGTGAGCACCCAAGGATGACAGATCATAAAGAAACAGTGTAAAATACAGAAAAGCTGCATAAAAATGACAAAAACACAAAGAAAATGTGACTATACTGACTCACATGTTAGTCATGAATGGGACGAGTGCATCACACTTTACCTTAATTACCACTCGTTTCACAATTTTATTATTACCAACCCAGTTTTTGATTTTGAAAATCTAGTCTCCCTAATCAAAATGCATGCAACCATAGCTCAAAAGCCTCTCAGTTCTCATACAGACACAGAAACAGCTTTTGTCATGTGTGTGTTTTTGTCAGGTCGGAGCAGGAGTGGCTGTGTGCGCTGCCAACAGACCAATGCTCTCCAGCTGGCCATCAAAGTCCTGTATGGATTTGTGGCCTTTCTCATCATCACCGTAGCAGTGTTGGCTTCACTCGGTAAAAACAACATTCAGTCTTCTACACTCCAAAATCTCAAATGCAAGTCATAAAAATACATTTGTTTATTTTTCAGTCCATTTTATCAAGGTAACAATTCCAGGTATTACATAAAGACATGAAGTTCTTGAGTTTAAATTCTGAATAAAGGTGCACTGCTTTTCTAGTGAGACCGCTTGTCTTCATGAAAACTGAATTGTTCTATGCCACTGAACATTTATATCTTACATTTATCAATTCACTTTTTTGTGGCATCTCCAGGGGAAGACTGGGACCAAAAAACGGCCGTGGAATGTGTAAAAAAGTGTAAAATGTTTTGATGAATTCTATTGGTCAGTGCCAAATGAATGTATTGTTATAGATAAGTTGTTATTATATTATATCATGAGTTTAATGCCAGATTGTGGAACATTACAGTTGAAGTATAACTATCTCCCAGATAATTTGATGAACCTTTAAGTGTTTTCTGTGACCTTTTCCATATATTTGTTTTGTTAAGATCATAATTTGAGCTGTTCAGTGATGTCATATTCCTCTAAACTAAAGTCAACAACATTACATTTTAAGTATATTAAAACTCCTCTTAGTTTAATTTCCCATGTTGCCTTGAGTTCTGCAGGGACAACACCACCTCTACTTCATTCTGTAATTGAATTGGTTTAAGCTTGCCGTTAAAATTCTTCCATCTCCATAAGTCTTGAGGAGAGTTTTTGAATGGGATCGTGTTGATTAGCTGACAGCTCCACCCCACAGCTGGTTCTCCCATCAGCAGCACGTTTTACTGGCCCTGACGCCGTAAATATACTGTTTTACCGTAGCCCAGGGATTAATTTATTGTCACACATTTCCTTGTTTGAGTTTACTACTGAAAAGAGCCTGGAGGAGTAGACATAGTTTGCTTTAGTTCTTAAAAGTCAGTCACTGGTGGCGAACAGTGAAAATATGAAGTTACTGTTTGTAGAAATGATTTAATTTCAACTATATTCAAGTAAATTTTACTAAAATATAAAACAGGTCATTACTGTGTTACTTATACTACTACTATTATAATTACTAATACAACTAATACCACTAAAACTATTCTAGAACTAGGCTTACAACTACTACAACGATTTCTACTACAACTAGAATACTACAACTACTACTACAACTAGGCTATTGCAACTACTACTACAACTACCACAACTAAGCTACTACAATCACTACAACTACTACAACTACCTCAACTAAGCTACTACAACTACTACAACTACTACTACAACTACCACAACTAAGCTACTACAACTATTACTACAACTACAATGAGGTTACTACAACTGCTACTACAACCAGACTACTACAGCTACCACAACTAAGCTACTACAACTACTACTACAACTACTACTACTACAACTAAGCTACTACAACTACCACTACAACTACTACTGCAACTAAGCTACTACAACTACTACTATTAAGCTACTACAACAACTTAGCTACTACAAATACTACTACTATTAAGCTACTACAACAACTTAGCTACTACAAATACTACTACATCTACTACTATTAAGCTACTACAACTACTACTACAACTACTACCACAACTAAGCTACTACAACTACCACTACAACTACTACTACTACAACTAAGCTACTACAACTACCACTACAACTACTACCACAACTAAGCTACTACAACTACCACTACAACTACTACTACTACAACTAAGCTACTACAACTACCACTACAACTACTACTGCAACTAAGCTACTACAACTACTACTACAACTACTACTATTAAGCTACTACAACAACTTAGCTACTACAAATACTACTACATCTACTACTATTAAGCTACTACAACTACTACTACAACTACGCTACTACAAATACTACTAAAACTAAGCCACTACAACTACCACAACCAAGCTACTACAACTACTACTACAATGAGGCAACTACAACTAGACTACTACAAATACTACTACAACTAAGGTACTACAGCTACTACTACAACTACTACTGCAACTACAAATAAGCTACTACAAATACTACTGCAACTAAGCTATTACAACTACCACATCTAAACTACTACAATTACTACAAATAGGTTACTACAACTACAATTAAGCTACTACAACTACTATTACAACTACCACTACAATTAGGCTACTGCAACAACTAATACAACCATTGTAGCTCATCTTCCTATTGTTATAGTTCTACTCTTTGTACACTTTGGGGATGGTCGTTTTTTCTGAAGCGTTGCTCGATCAGTAAACATGGGGACTAATACTATGGGCTGTATGTAATACTTTACTTACAGCCCATAGTTTATCAAATATCTGTTTTGTTCATCATGTTATCAAAGAGTTAAAGTCTGGCCGTTGTCTTTATGGAGCAAAAGACCGTTAGCTCATGTTGATATTATTGCCTTTCGAACAGCTGTTCAACTCAAGTCTCTCTCAAACGCTGGATCCACAAAAACATGTTGTCGTTGGCCCTGCATCTAAACTGTCCAGATCACAAGAGAAACACAACGTGACCTCTGATTCTCCCTCTGAGCGCAGTATCCATAAACAAGTATTCAGAACTTAACTAACACTGTTTATGTAATACTACTTCAAAAACCAGTAGTTTATATTCATACTTCATTAGTACTTAAACCTTCTATATTACACAAAATTGACTCCTGTGAGCTTTTAGTCATGTTAAAATGTTGTTACAAATGAGTTGTGTTTTGTTTCATTCACACATGTTTGAGTAATCCTGCAGTACTAGTCTGACTACATCTTCAAATCTCAAAATGCTCCATGCATGTTCCACCTTCTGATTATGTAGCTGTAGTTTTCAAGTTAACAGTGACAATTTACCTTTGGTTCAGTAGAGTTGATCAATTCCAAAAGACTGAAATCATCCAAATCTCATCTACTGGGGGTGTATGGAGTTTAAAAACACAGTGGAGCACTTCCTGTATTACCATATGACATGACAAAAAAGGAGTGCTCAGCCTAAATTTGCAAAGTTTGTGTGTTTAAAACGTGTAAATGAAACAAAACGCAAATCCATGCGTGTTTTTGATGAGAAAACAACATTATAACATTTTAAACTGCATAATAAATGGCCTAATATAACATATAAACATATAAATAATATATACATTTTTAACCTGCATAATAACTGGCCTTTCATTTTTAAGTATTAATTAAATAAATGCAGTATCTGTGCAGTTAATGAAATTTTAATGAAGATTCAGCCAATTCTGATCAGCTGTATTGTAATTATAATTTAAGAATATGTTAGTAAAAACATGTGGTTTAGAGCAGATTTCAGACTTTGAAGAAAGAAATTTGATTTTTTTCATGCAAAATACTATGATTCAAAGTGTCACGTTCAGGAAATAAAAACCAAACGGCATTTTTCTTTGTTTTTCAAAATAAAATCGATCAATAAAATTTGTCAATATGAGGGAAAAAAATCAAGTATATGGGTTTGCAAATTGGCTTTTTGCTAGATGGTCTATAACAGGGAGGTCAAACTCAAATTCACAGAGGGCCAAAATTAAAAAATGGCACTTAGTTGTCAACAATATCTGCAATAATAATAAATGTTTAATAATAGTTTTGCTTAAATATTGAATCCAGAACAAGCATAATATAAAATAAGTATGGAAATGAGTAACTTATTTTTATACCATCCTTTTAAATCAAACAAACTACTACTACTATTTTGCTACTTGAACTTACTTTATCAGTAATAATGTTTTGCTTGTGGTTCTCAGTTTCTACCTCTTACGTTTGGCCATTGCATTCCACTACTTCTACTACTATTACAAAAACAACTTCTAAAATATTTCTATCTAAAAATCGAATTTGTAACGAAAACACAGCAATACAAAGTTACCTCAAATATGCATAACAAAACCATATTTTTCTAACAATTAAAATCCCATCCGTTAAGGCGAGTGTTTTTACAGAACAGTAAAGAATGTAAAGGGTCAGCTTCTGTCCGTAGCACTGGATACATAGGAGCAGGTGGTATGTACACAGTGCACGTGGGACACTTCTCTATGCAAACACAGCACTGGACTCAGATTGGCCCCTAGAGTTTAAGACCAGGGGCTCAAACATACATTCTTATTCTCAGTCCATCTGGTATGCAAACAACTCATATCCCCCCATAGTTGATTGCTTACAGTTCTCAAGGGAGATATAGAGAGTGCATATAGAGCAGCTGTGTACATTCTTGTATACGTGTTTTGGCTGCATTTAGCTAAGAAAATTGCATATGTCTTTCATTGCTTCCTTTTTCTGTAATGATTAAGTTGTTTTATGATGACTTTAAGTTGAGATACTACAGGTAAAACCATTTTTGTAGTGGCTTTCTTGTGAAAATAACAAATTGCCCACACCGAAATATGTTTTAATATTTAGTTAACTTAACTTATTTCAGACATTTTCATTTCAAAGTCTGTTTTCTCAAAATCCATTTATCTCCCATAATGACATAAGGATCTCCTCAAGCTTGTAGTTCATTTTCCAGCTCTGATTTATTAACGTTATAACTATAATTGGTGAAATTTGAATTTTTAGGCAATTTCTCAGTGAGATTAACTTTACTCTGATACAAATGAGGATATCCAAAATCCTCTCTGTGTGTAAAAGAAGGTTCAATTTGATATTTTTAAGATTTAATATTTTTTCTCATCTTAAAATATAAACATGTCCACTGTTCTCAAAGATACAGTATGTAACTTTCTGGAGGAGACATCACCTACATGATCCCATGGAGTTAAAACCATACTTTTGGATCATTCTCCATGGATATACTTAAGTTTTAGGCTATACTTCTGAATATTATAGCCAAAGGAACAACATTCCCATGAAAACAATTTGAAAGAGTCACTCCTCTATGTCAAATAAGAGTTAGATTTGTGGAGATGCAAGCCCTCTCAGAGTAAGGACGCAACAGCAACCAAAAAAAAAAAAAACATGCTTGTTTTTATTTTAGTAAATGAGTTATCTGTAAGGGTCCATACTGTGGTTTTAACTTTTCTTTCTGGTTCTTCCAGTATTCAGAAAAGTGGAGAACCTTTCTGTAGAAGAAACCAACTACTACAATAAGATCAACAAGGTGCAGCAAGGACTAGAAGGTAAGTACTTCAACTACTACCACAACTCACACCACATTTACAGTTTGTTTTCGCAAGTTTTGCAAGTTCTCAAGAATAAACTGTTTATTTTAATGTACAAAATGTGTGATGCAAGCGCTGAAGAAACAAAGAAACTGTATTTGTGTTGCTAGGGATACTCCAAACATTTGCAAAGACAAAGTACTGCAATCAAGTTATTATGTACTGATTCAGAGTATATTTATGTTTTGTAGATTTGAGCGTGGCCTCTAATTGCACCGGATGTTTAGATGTGGCCACGTACACAGAGGAGATCAGCCGCTTGAAAAGAGAGTTTGAAGACATCCAGAGAATGATCCTGGGACAAGAGCAGGTATGGTGAGCTCTTTGAGTCAAAAATAGCTCAACAGAACAATATTTAAACCTAATTAGTGCTGAGTAATATATAATTGCCATTTCCTAACAAGCATTGCAGTTGGGATTAGATTTACAATTTCTGTTTAAAGTTCACAGTTTGAATGTGTCCAGATGAAATTATTAATAGACTCAAATATGAAGTGACAAACTAATACAAGAATAACTTTTCAGAACATGTTTATATAAAGCTAAACTATGTGGTTAACAGGTTTTATGTTGAATAAGACAGGATTTATTGTTATTTGTGGATAAAATTATGGTACAGTACTTCAACAACTGTAGTCTTTACTATTTGTTAAAGGTGCATTGTGTAACCCTTCTGGTCGTCAAATGCTTTTCTCCATGGAGATGTTATTGCTTTGTCTAGAAAATTTCACAGAACATTTTTATCTTCATGGAGACCAAACCAGACCAAGTAAGGCAATCCCGCTCACAGTCAGAATGCCTATTTGTCTAGGTATTTTTGAGCTATAAAACCACCTGTAATTGAAGAAATGTAAGACAGAGTTGTTTAATGTCCAACCTGTCCAGGCAGAGCAATGGCATATCCATAGAAACAAGCAGGTGATGGACCTCCAACCAATTGCCCATTCAATTCAGTTGTGATTAATCTTACAGCCCTAAACCTGACTATATCATATGGTTTTCTCCTGTCTATCCTAGCTCCTGGACCAGTCTTCCCAAGCCCAAGCTAACCTGCAGGCCGCTAGTGCCCGCCTCACTCGAGATGTTCAGAACCACCTGAGGGCCATCAAGATCCTGAACCAGACCTTAGACAGGTTCTCCAACCAGGTACAGGGCTGGAGAGACGTAATCGAGGAAACCGAGGAGAAGATGAAGACCCTAGCAGAGGATCAGGATGATGTGAAAGCTATAGCACAACAAGTCAACACTACTGTGGCACTAAGGTACTTTTACTTCAGAGCACACAGCAGTAAAAAATATATTTATTGATTTGTATATTTTAACTTGGGTTTTAGGTCAGATTGTCCAATTTCAGTTTTTACAATGATGTTGAAACCTATTAGTCACAAAGTCCTTTGTGCTTTATAATGGCAAAGTGGTTTGGGTGAAGCACACATGCAAGGCTCTTTGCCGGCCGCAGTCATGTGAGATCAATTACCATCTGGTGACATAGTCCATTATTCCACATGGGATCCTCCAAATACAAAATCTGCAGATTAACAATCTCAGTTAAACACTATAAAGTAGGGCTGGGCAACAAATTAAAATCATTCATGCTTTTCAATATTTTATTAGATTTTTTTTTCTGTTAAAATTGCTTTCAAGACCAAATACCAAGAGGAAAACAGTACAAACTTTTAATCATTGCCATTTTACTTCAAAAATAGTCAGATTTCGTCATCCAAAGTCTGAATTTAGCTCCAAACCACATGCTTTTACTGACAGAGAATTGAATTTCGACATCTCTGAAAATCTCAAGATGACTATGTGACTAACTGCACAGCCCTATAATAAGGCTATAGAATATTGTGAAATCATCTAAAACCTAAGGTTGAACCAAATATACTCTACTGTGTTGCAGTACCATGTGGATTGATGCCCTCCAAAGAAAGGCAGATGAGGAGACATTGGTCCTACAGAAACTGACCACAGACTGGCAGAACTACACCAAAGTCCTGGGCGCCATCAAGTCCAACACCAGCACCACCACCCAGAACATGCGCTTCCTCCAGAACAGTATCCAGGCCGACCAGCAGCGCATTGCCATGGCCACCGAGATCTTCTACGACCTCACCCAACAGGTCTGGCCTGGTTAAACGGTTTTGCTTTTTTTCTGCTTTTGTCGTATCTTCCTTCCATAGAGCTCCCCTTGTCTTTTAAAGTGCACTTTTTCTTCTGTGCTCAAGTCAAGTTGACTCTTATATGAAACGTTGCTCGATTTTCCATCACATATATAGCAAGAGTCCTGTGAAATCTTGAAAGAAAGCCATTGCTATCTTGCTGTTTCATTAGCTATATGTAGATAGAGATACGCACATCCAAGGCTGTTGAGGTGTGCTCAGAAGTTAAATCTAGAGTAAGAAATTGGATCCGCTCAGCAGTTCTTTGGAGCTCCCAGTTGTAGTGACATTTTGGGTCCTTCAGAAATGGCAATGGCAGTGGTCATACATACAAAGCTGTAGAAACAACAATGTCGATTCATGATGATTCGTTCACCTGAAAAACAGATATTGACTGAGCGATGACTAGCTAAAGGATTTAACAGGCCAGTTACAGATTATACCGTAAATCAGAAGCCCTGTGGGATATGACCCTGATGAGATCTTACAACAATAGAACCTCTTGTAGACCACTTCCAGAAATCATAAACTGTGTGTTCTTATTTCTCATTTTAGGTGATGAATCTCCAAATGCAACTGGACAATGTGACTTCATTCATGGATGAACATGAGGAGAACATGCACGATCTTCACTATCACTCAAAGTAAGTCAGAAGACCATAGAACATTCTGTACAACTGACAGTCACTAGTAGGCCTATAGTCACGTCAACCCTCGTTGTCAGGTACTATGAGAACCGTACTGGGGAGCGCTTCTCTGCCTTGGACGGTCGTCTGAACTCTATAGAGATGGAGATCGAAACCATCTCGTCCAGTATCAATGCCACAGTGAACCATGTGCAGAGCATGTACAAATACATCAGCATCGAGAGCTCCACCTGCCAGAGCCGCCTGGGACGACAGACCGAAGACCTACAGGTATCTCAACATTACACTTCCTACTAAGTTTGAATTTCCTCCTGTAGTCCCTTATCTCAACCCACTAAATTGCTATTGCATAATGTGGTCTTTCCATTTTCACTTTATCACAGTAAATAATCAGTTTTGGCACATGAAGCTCAAGATATCCTCCCATAAACTTTATTATTGATACATAATTGCTGTTTTCTCAATACTTATTTATTTTATCATCTGAAAAAATTCCAAACAGAACATTTTAGACCGTTTGTAGTTGCACTTAACTTATGCATTCCTAACGTTATAATTATTGACCATGATAAGTGACAGATATATTGTTGTTCTACACATTACACACAAAACATTGGATACAGCCACTTAAAGATATGGTAAGTAAAAACTGTATAATTCACAAATGCATATTAGGTGTTAAAATCAGTAAGCCATTATGAAAGGTAAATTTATCAAATGCTCCATAAGGTTGACATGCTTTGTTATCGTGTTGTGATTTCCAGAGTCTAAACACCACAGTGCTGTTGCTGCTGAATCTCGCGGACTCCCTGAGACAACAGAACATGCTGCTGAACGTGCGTTTGGATGTGGATGTTCGAAACCTGTCCATGGTGATGGAGGAGATGAAGCTTGTGGATGTCCACCACACACAACTCATCAAGAACTTCACCATAGTCAAAGGTCAGTGCCTTTGTTGTAGTTCAGATGTATTATCATTGACTTCTTGTAGAATAACTAGTACTAGTCAAAGATTTGGAAAAAGAGACATGAGGCTATCGTTCTGAAGTTTATTTAACAATAGTGCAGGACCTTGGACACAGAGAGATTGAAGCCTCAAGGCATTGTGACAGTATTGCCCATTCCAGCTTAGTCCACTCTGGCTATGCTTCAGTTGTAGTAAGTATTATAACTCTGATGATGTAGATCAAGATAATAAGGACTGGGATGGCCATGTGGGGTGGCAGAGCACAGACATAATTTCTCACAATTTAATAATTTCGTTTTAATTCACAAACAAGCATCTTCCTAATTCCTGCGAGAAACCTGTGAGAACTCTGAGAAACTGTAATTGGCTTATTGTGATGCCTTCAGGTGCTCCAGGACCTCCAGGACCCAGAGGCTTCAAAGGGGACCCTGGTGCCAAAGGTCCAGTTGGACTAAGTGGGGGCAAAGGTGACCGAGGACCTACAGGAGGACGTGGACCACAGGGAGAGAGGGGCGTCCCAGGACCTAAAGGACCTCCTGGAGAGCCAGGAAGTGGCGGTACAAGAGGTGCTACTGGACTTAAGGGAGCCAAGGGGGAAATGGGTCCCACTGGTCCCAGAGGTGAAAAGGGGTTTAAAGGAGATGCTGGTAAACCTGGCAGTGTTGGATTGCCAGGACTCGATGGACCAAAGGGGGATCCTGGAATTGAAGGTGCTCGAGGACCACCAGGTCCACCAGGACCAAGGGGTAAACCAGGGCCAGCCGGACCACCCGGAGCACCAGGGGTTGCCGGACCTCCAGGCCAGCCCTATTACAGCCCTCATCAGACAGATATCCAGACAGTGACTCCAGGAGTGGACTCAAAGAGGCACTGAGGAGTGAAGTGGGACAAAAGCATATACTAGTATTTCACAAAACCATAAAACACTTGAACAAGTTAAAATGAATCTTTTGTGATATGTGATGGTCAATGTCATTTTGGATGCGTCTTTATGAAACACACAGCATCTACATTTTAACTTTAAAGACTTCTTCAGTTTTTTGTTTTTTTTCAAAAGCTAAATTAGAGTGAGAAACTTCAGAATGCACTTAATGCAAAACTACCCTGTTCGTTTTGACTGGACAGACATTCAGCTTTTAATCCAACTGATGGTACTGCCCTGTTTTACTTGCATTTTAACATTTTGAATCAGTAGTAAAACAAAACATGTGTATATTTTGCATTTGGTCAAAGTTGAATGTACTTGAGGTCGTGATTGTTGAAATGTGAGTTTAGTTTTGCTCAAAGCTTCCAACAACATTAGGTTTACATTGTCCCCCACTAAATGTAGCTCACTAAGTATGGTCTTATCATGGTGGGTGGATAAAGATTTATGCTGGTTGTACACTGACTGCAAGTGTGGCACAATTTGAGACTCGGGTGAGTCCCATAAGACTTAGAAATTCATTAAAATCATTGCGCCCTTCCACAGTGGCCTCTGCACCCTGCCACATGGAACCAGGCAGAGTGCAAGTGTGGGTCCAAATGAGGAAAAAATCTGCAAAAAAAAGTTTTTTCTGAACACTGCAGCGGTCCAATTTTCAGATCATTACACATGAATAATTGTGTGAGACCACGTGCCTTGGTTAAATACCACCACAGTTGTCATAGTTGGTGAGACGGTCTGCAAGTAACCCACTCAAAGTACGTGCCAAATCCGTCCTGCAGTTAGTGTAAACCCAGCACTATATTACCTTTAAAAGTTTCAGAGCAGGCTCTCTGAGAGTGTGTGATTGAAGAAGCATGACTGTTTTGAATACTGTAGATCAGTTGGTAAGAAACATCATCGTGAATAGACTTCACATTTTAAATCCTTAAGATTTTGCATTTTTTTCACAGCCAAAAGATGGATCAGGCATAAAAACATCTGACAGACTTAGATCTGGAAAAATGGAAGCTAAGGGATTTCAATTTGACTGGAACCATATACTGATGGAGAAGCGTTTAGGTCATCTACAACCACTCCAAAACTGCAGTCCTTTGGGGCTTTCCTGATCAGTACCAAAAGTGGTCAAAGAAAACAGTGGCTCAAATTGTATACACTGTTGCATAATTACATGTGTACCACTATTAAGTAGACCTATCATTTTAACTCATGTTTGTTGCCTGATCAGAGTAGGCTATAATGAAATGACATCGGATGCTTTTTCTGTGAAGTTCACTACCATCTGGTTTAGATTTTGTACATGTTGCTATTTCAGCTCTGATCACTCCAGCTCAAAATGGACTCAAGAGTAATCGCCTATAGAGAAAAGCGTCGTCTTTAAAACTGTTGTCATGACATGCGACTGGTTTGCATTGAACTTCAATAAAAGCTTTGGTCAAACAGTGTCTTGTGGTACTTACTGTACTCTACTACAGCTCCTAAGGGCTATTGTTGCCCCATAAGAAAGGGAGTGGTGTTTTTGTCATTAATTCAAAACACATGTGGGCCTTCTGGTAAGATTTTTGCGGTGTACTGCCACTCTCTAAATCCCAACTTGTTTTAAAATGTGACTGTAATTAACATAAGTTTGTACTCTATTTGGTTTTCATTGTAAGGGTTGTGTTACTAAAATACGCAATAGCTTAGACATGCTTAGTGACTTTACAGAAGTCTTACATAACATCCTTAAACATTATACAAGAATGAGATGTTTAAATTCAAAGTGACACTTGTGTACACAGATGCATTGTGGGAAACGGGCTGTGTAGACTGTGGTCAAATGTGCTGAATCATAATTTAGCAGGCTTTCTGGAACTGAATAAGCTGTCAAAGATTTCTGTAACCAAATCCGAGAATTCATCCACGTCCAATGCTTTGAGTCTGCTGTGATGGAAATGGGAAATCACAAATCTTCACTCAGAATAAGTGTATAGATATCAGAGTATTTACTTGACTTGTGTAGATTTTACACAAACTGAAAACTGAATTTGGGTACCCTTGGAAATTATAGTGTAGACCTAGCTGTAATATAACACAAATATGCAATGTACCTGATTTCTTCTTTCCATGTATTTGAACAAATTTGCCTTGCCCTAGTACACATCCCGTAAATTCCAGACTATAAGCCATTACTTTTTTCTCACACTTTGCCTGCGACTAATAAAACGATGTTGCTAATATGTGGACGGATTCTTTGTTTGGCACATTGTCCATTCGTATTTACGGTCTATGGTTTGGCAACACAGCAGATACTCGCAGCCTGAGTGCAGAAAGTCACACTGCTGTCTGTGCAGTTAACACATGGATCTAGGGTTAACATGAAGTTGCTACACTAGCCAGCGAAAATGTCAGCACACTCAAATAGTTTATCGCCGTGTGTTTAAGTAAGTTATGATGCTAAATAAACATTAGTGAGGGGGATTCGTCTTACCCGTATGCGTAAATGATGAGAAAAAATGTTTCAAACTTCAGTAGCCGGACATCCACTCATACCTGATTGAGAGAACTAGCCCCACTCCTGAGAGAGTCTGAAATCTGCTGAAATCCTCCAAGACACTGACATGATACAAACAGAACAGAGGCTCTTTTCTGCAGGAGACATGTGCCATAGAATGTGGGAGAGACGGGGGTGATGCTTGTTCGATTGTGTTTTGAACAGTTATTTTGCGCTTCATACACACGCCCTCCTCATGGAAAATACACAAAGAAATGCAGATGATACAGCTTTTTTTAACAGCAACTGATGTGGATGTCGAAGAAGGAAACAGCTGCTGCACGTGAGCTTGGCATTGCTGAGTCGATGGTGAGATTTTGACGATGTCTGACTCAATGAAAAAAAAAAACGTCAAAAGCTTTCAGAGGCGATAAAAGCAGAAGGCCTAACTTAAAAAAGTTCTTAAAGACGTGGACACCTGTGGCTTATATTCAGGTGCAGCCTATATATGTACAATTTAAACATTTTGTTAAAATTTTGTTGATGCGGCTTATATTCAGGTGCGCTCTATAGTCCAGAAAATAAGGTAATATAATATTGCTGCTTGCTGTCTGGGTTATGATGTAGCATTTTATTGTCCGATAATCAGGAATCACGTGTTAGTATGCTAGTTGTTGTGAACTTAACTGCTTTCTAAAGCACTTATTATTCATTGTGGTGAATAATTTGGATACTCAGTGTGCATAAGGTAAGTGGGGAATAACTTTGCATCACTGGAAACAGTTTAAAATTAACTAGTTCTGTTTTTTACGTTTAAAAAAATCTGGCTTATATCTACACTGGGGTGAATTTTGCTCAGTCACATAAGAAAAATGTAGTACAGAACTTTTGTGATGGTTAGATATAATTGTTTCTTTCACTTTTGGCATTCAAGTGAGAACAAATTCTATAATCTGTGATATATTTGGCTCTTTCATCTGCTTTATTCCTCCTATAGTGTCAGTTCCTGTGCGTCTCTGCCTCTGACAGGAGTGGGAACGACCTCCTGGAGTCCGACCCAAACTGTTTCAACATGTGGCCCATAAATCACTGTCACAGACCCCAAACTCACCCACGACGCCGCCATGTAAAGAGGGACCACATATGACACCCATGGGAGAAAGCAAAAGTTAAGCCAGAGAGATACAACTACCCCGAGCTGTAGATAGTGGTGGAGGTGAAGGGTGGGAGATGAAGAGGCTGAGGAGGATGAGGATTCTGCAGCTGAGGTGGAGGAGGAGATACAGTGTACTAGTTGTTTGTTTATCGGAATGACTATAGAGGGAGTGGAGCGACAATGATAGCAGGTGATTACATGTGATTGACTGACAGAAGAAACAAAGTACAGGTTGTAGCATTCCTTACTCACAATTTATTTTAATTAGAGTGGACTGAAACTTCAATTTAAGATCTTATTACACTGTTAAGTACTAAAACATAATTAAGTAATAAAACATAATTTTAAAATTATGCACTCCAGGCTTTATTTATTTAAATTCAAATTAAACTCTCAGTCAGTGGTTATTTGATTTTCACTTCGGTGCACACAACTCCAGATTACAGATGCGTATGGATAGTTTGAATTTTTATATATGTGAAAATTGTTTAAAGTTGCCTTAAACTTATAGCATTTGTTTTGTTAATTTCTCTTTCCGTCACTTTTTTGAAGCAAGGATGCAAGGAATCAAGGACAGAAGGAGCCAAGAATTTAAGGAGGTAAGGACAGAAGGAAGCAAGGACTAAAGGAGGCAATGACACAAGGAAGCAAGGATACAATGGAAAGAAGGACAACGATGAAAGCACATAAGGAATCAAGGACACAAGGATGAAAGGACGGAAGGAGGCAAAACCAGAAGGAAGCAAGGACTAAAGGATGCAAGGACACGAGGATGAAAGGACATAAGGAATCAAGGACAGATGGAGGAAAGGATGCAAGGATGCAAGGAGGCAAGGACAGAAGAAAGCAAGGACACAAGGAAGCAAAGACACAAGGATGAAAGAACACAAGGATGCAAGAACTCAAGGATACAAGGAAGCAAGGACAAAAATAAGCAAGGACTTAAGGATGCAATGGCACAATGAAGCAAGGACACAAGGATGAAAGGACACGTAGATGCAAGGACATAAGTAAACAAGGATGCAAGGACACAAGGAGCATTCAATAATTCTTGTCATGAAATTATATTATGTTATAATATATATATGAAATTATTATTATTATTGAAATGTATTACAGTATTATGGACTCAGAGTAGCTCTCCGTGAATGAGGTCCAAATAAACCCTTAAGACAATGCACGTTTGGTCTTAGGGTGGTGTTTAGGATTAGAGCAGGGCCTATATAATTTACACTGGCACTGGCGAGATTTATTTAGCAACATCCCCACACAGCAGATTACAGGGCTTAAACCCCGAGATGTGTGTTTGCTAAAGTCATATGTGTGAGTAATGTGAGAGAGTGGGTCGACTAACCACAGTTTGGACTGGCACAGACCACTGGCTCATTTTGTCCTGTAACTGTCTCCAGGGCTGGGGGAGATTTTTGGAGTGTAATTATTGTTTTGAAACGTTTTTACTTTACATAATCATTTCAGATCATTAAAAATATTCCCACGAAAGACACAGGTGGAGCTGGTCACATTACACTTTGTCATCGTTTAGTTTGGCCTGGTTAGATGCAGCGATGGTGAAGGACTCTTTTGTCAGTGTGCAGGTCTGTGGTGAGTACGGTACTGAGAACAGAGTGCACACAAATTATAACGTTCAGAGACAAAGGTTATTGGAGACACTAAGAAACAGAGAGAATAGCTTGTCATTATCTCATTACTGCAAAACATGATTATATTCTGATTTTATAGAAGAGTAATGCACTGATTTGAATAAATAAAGCTTATCTTTATGGTATAATACATTCTGGTTTTATGAGGAAAATAAATGGTTAAATAAGCTGATTTTAAGATAACAGAAGTTGAATCACACATTATAAAAGGGGGGCGTTGGTTATATGGACACAAGGAAGAATGCAGGGACACAAGGACAAAAGGACAAAGGACACAAGGATGTGAGGAAGCAAGGACATCCACTGCAAAAAAATAAAATAAAAAATCTAACCAAGTTTTATCATGATTTGAGTAAATTTCACTTGACAAGTAAAATTATCTCTGAATAGAACAAGACTTTTTGTACTTGAAAATACATCTGGTTACACTTAAAATAAGAAAAAAAAAAAACTTTTTGCACTTAAAATAAAAAACAAAATCTAATGTTGCTTGAAATAAGAAAAACACGCTTACTTCATTGGTAGATCATTTTACTTTTCAAGTTGAATCAACTCAAATAAAGTCAAATGTTCAAATGAACAGCTTCTCTCCATTAAAATAAATGGTACTTAGGCCTGTAGGTCACAATAATTACTGCAATATAACACAGTTCAAAATTTGTTATTGTGACCAGGCTTGATTTTTATTTTTCCCTTTTTTTATTACACAGAATATGATTTGGTAGATGAGAAACAAGAGGTTCTTATGTGCTCCTATCGTAGCAGGAAAACCGTCTCTAGACCACATTCTAACCTTTCTGTGTACTTGCTGACTCACTCCTCTCTAGTACCAGGTGCTACTCCCATCCACACACAACCACACAGAGAAAAATAAGCAGTACCTGAGTCTGTTTTTCCAGCTGCCTCTGTAATGTGCTGCTCTGAGCTCATGTCTCCACTGTGCCGGTGTTAGCTAATGTCCCCCTTCTCCGGCACCTCCGACCACTGGCATCATAAATCCACCAGCTCCAGTGTACAGAAGCTAGTGCAGAAGAACCGTATATTATTCTATCTACTCAACAGGTTTATCCACCTTCAACATGTTGTAAAGTTTAATCTAGTGCTAACAAGAAGGAACAAAGCAGCAAGGAACCAAGGATGCAAGGACTCAAGGATGCAAGAAAGAAATCCAGTTAAAGGTGCACAGTGTAACTTTTCTGGTACAAGTCCATAACCCGGCAGTGTCCATGGAGATTACTTTCCCTGGAATTGGTTATTTTGTAGTATTATGTATGTATTGTACTGTAGATGTTTTTACAATAAAATAATACCTGTAATATGCGTTCTTCTGTAAATGGGCCCACCTCTCCACAAATCTGACCTGTAAATCAACTCGGTGCTTGTCTCCATGGAAATAGATAAACTGGATATCATACTGTGAGAAATTCCAAGCAAAGCAACAACATCTCCAAGGTGAAAGTTACACAGTGCACCTTTAACTTAAATTTGCTGTAGGTCAGTCATGTTTCCTTTTAGTTCTGAGACTTTTGCTTCAGGATAGTTGCCATATTTTCAAACTGGGACCCAAATTAGTTTATCCATGGATTTCAGAATATTGAGAAATTGCCATAAAACCAAAAATAAGAAAACGAAAAAACAACAGTTTTCTTCGTTATTTGTCTCCAAAACCAAAATGAAAAAACGGATAATGATTCGTTTTTTCAGTTTTCGATTTTGTGTTTAAATGAAGAATGGAAAAAACGGATAACGGCCGTTTCCCGTTTACGTGACTTCCGTGACTGCGATGCCGAACTTTTGCACCGGGTACGGACTGAACCAGGACTGATCCAGGTCCGAGACCAGACCGGGACCAGAGCGGGACTGAGACCGGGACCAGAGCGGGATCAGAGCGGAACTGAGACCGAGACCAGCGGTCCGAGCGGTTCCGTGTCGTCGTCTCCGCGCTGGTCCGGACGGGCTGCTCCAGAACCGCGGCTGGTTCCGAGGTGGTGCAAAGCATCCAACTGACGCTTTCACACCAACGAAAACGAACCGAACTAAGAGCTTTCGGTTCAAATGGACCAGGTCCGGGATCAGACCGGGACCAGAGCGGGCCTGAGACAGAGACAAGACCGAGACAAGACCGAGACCAGACCGGAGGCTCAGAGCCCACGGCAGGGCCGGAGCTCGAAGCTGAGGCTTGGACCCCGCGGAGGCTCAGAGTCAAAGCTTGGAGTCCGCCCCAGTCCCGCTCTGGTCCTGGTCTGGTCCCGCTCTGGTCCTGGTCTGGTCCCGCTCTGGTCCCGGTCTGGTCTCGGACCTGGATCAGTCCGTTCACCCGGTGCAAAAGTTTGGCATCGCAGTCACGGAAGTCACGTAAACGGGAAACGGCCGTTATCCGTTTTTTCCATTCTTCATTTAAACACAAAATCGAAAACTGAAAAAACGAATCGTTATCCGTTTTTTCATTTTGGTTTTGGAGACAAATAGCGAAGAAAACTGTTGTTTTTTCGTTTTCTTATTTTTGGTTTTATATTGAAAAACGAATGAACGAATGATACACGGATTCAATATACAAGGATTCAGCTCAAAACAAATGATTGTATCTTTTGAATAGGTTTTCAAAATGTTACATAAAGCAAGAAGCTGAAATCCATGAATAGTCTGAATTTTAAATGTAGTTTTTGTATTGGTCAGTGGTGGAAAGAGTGACTACTGCCAAAATTAAAATAAAGTATGATTATTTTTACACAATGTTAGTAATGATTTAGCTTATTATAAATACAAACTGGATTCATTAAACAGTTTAATGTTGAAATAATTTGTTTAATCCACAACTATCTGACCACTTAAGGTCTCATATTATGCAAAATTGACTCTTGTGAGTTTTAAGCCTCAAAGACATACCTGGAGTTATGGTTTGTTTCATTCACACATGTTTGCGTAACCCAGGGGTGTCAAACTCAAATTCACAGAGGGCCAAAATTAAAAACTGGGACTAAGTTGTGGGCCAAACTAAATATTTATTGAAAAATTTCAACAACATCTGCATGTTTTCTCTTCTTTAGATATATGTAATGTTAAACCTTTTCTTATTAAAATAAATGTTTAATAATACTTTTGCTTAAACATTGAATCCAGAACAAACATATAAAATAACAACAAAATTTTAAATAAATAATGTCTTTATACCCTATCTGTAGCCGGTGGGCAGCTCTAATACATATTTGACATGATCCCCCAGGTCAAATATAGTTATACCGCCGGACAAATTTGCCCGCAGGCCTGAGTTTGCCATGGAGTAACCCTTTCCAAAGCTCAAAATGCTCTGTTCCCCCTTGTGATGCCATGAAGCAGTACTTTTCAAGGTAACAGCTACTTTTTACCTTTTGTTCAGTAGAGATCAGCAATTTCAGGGCTGTAATCATCGAAATGATTCTAGTGAAGGTGTATGGAGTTTAAAAACACAGTGGCGCACTTGTAATACAGCACCTGTATTACCACATGACATCTCAAAGTAGAACAGAGTGCCTTCAGTGAGAGAAGAACTTTGTGTGTTAAACATGTGTGAATGAAACAAAACACAACTCCAAGTACGTTTTTGATGAGGAAACAACATTATAACATAGATCAGAATATAGCACAATATAATGGCCCCTTGAAACATGATTAGTTGCGTGTTTTTTAGCGTCTAGGTTGACTATTACTAACTCTAATTAGATCATTGTTCTACCACTCGAATAGCTTTAATTTTGAGGGGTCATTTGGACTTCTTTCATATTAAACAACCCTGGACCACACACACCACACATAATAGCAACTTCATTTGTAGAGGAGCGTTGTGTTTTGCTTTGGAACCTCCCTGATCCATTATCTTTCGTAAATTGACCAAATCATGAAAAGTTAGAGACAGCACCACGAGTATGCTATCCAGCGCTCTTTCGTCACTAAATAAATATACTGAAACACAATTATATTTGAATTACAAAGCCCAACCTTGAATATAAATAAACATTTTTTTTAGTGTGGCTGACCTCACTTCCTTGAGTCAGCAGAAAGTCTGGTCCTTTGGGGAGAATTACACCATTAACTATGACCTCACTGTAATACAAATGCACTCTGGAGACTTCAGCCAATCGCGGACAAGAATGGAGAAGTTTACAATTCACCCTGGTAACCTAAAGAAGATCCCTGTTTCATATCTCATGGTGTCGCCAGGCCAAAACACGCACAGTATAGACTAATCTTTCCAGGCCGATAGTCTTGACCCAGATACAGGGCTTAAATCTGGAATGATGATGATGAGAACAAATGTCTGTATTTTATGTTACAGTATGTATCCAGTTTCCTTTGTGACTTATAAAAATATATTGGTTTGGCAGGACCAGCATTCAGTCTTCCCCCCAGACAATTCCTTTTCTAAAATAAGATGTTTTCTTTAATCTTATAGCCTGTCGACCTATTACTTTTATCAACTTCTAATCTAAAATACTTTCTTTGAATCAGCATAAATAGAAAGATACAAATTCTGTTATCTGACCATCCAGAACCTCATACTTTGACAGAATTTTACAAAGATGAGTGGGTCTGGAGCTGGATCCTGTCTCCATGATTCCAGAGGGTGTGATTGACAGGTGGATTAACCAATCAGAGAGATGTATTTCAGAAACACATGATGCAAATTAACGGCTGTGTTTAGAAGCTTGGACAGCAGATTTTCGTGCTCCGAGGTTCAGTTCCAGACCCTGCTGTAGTTGACAGAATGAAGACAGGACTGGCTCTTCAGGAAACATCGTACATTCCAGATCACAAAGATTCTTATAACTCTAATACAAACTACAGTAAATTTGATATTTGATTGGAAATGCGAACAAGTGATCATTACTAAATAGGTGAAGGCAATTTATAGAATGGTTTTGTACATGTAAAAAAACAAAAAAAGCAAAACATACTTCCAGCCCAGTCCTTGTTATCTTAGCCTACATCAGCGGTATAATACTCCCTACAACGGTGGACAATACTACACACAATGTTTTGAGGGGTGTCTCTGAGTCCCATACTATACTCCTCTTCTTATTGCGCTACTTCTGTTTATTCTAAATGTGTGTATCATTCGTTCATTCGTTGTTTTTTTTTCTTCGCTATTTGTCTCCAAATCCAAAATGAACAAAATGGATAATGATTTGTTTTTTCATTTTTTAAGTTTGTGTTTAAATGAATAATGGGGGGGAAAAAAAAAAAAAAACAAAAAAACGAATAACAACCATTCTAGATTCCTTGACTTAAACCGTAATGCCGGACTTTTGCGCCACATACGGACTGAACCAGGACTAAAACAGGACTAAACCAGGTGTAAACCAGGTCTAAACTAGAACTGAACCAGGACTAAACCAGGTATACCAAGACTAAACCAGGACTGGGACTGAGACCAGGACTGAGACTGAGACCGAAACTAGACCAGGATTGAGACCGGGACTGAGACCAGGACTGAGACCAGGACCAGATCAGGACTGAGACCGGTTTAGTCCTGGTTTAGACCTGTTTTAGTCCTGGTTCAGTCCTGGTTTTCCATTACTCATTTAAACACAAAATCAAAAATGGAAAAAACAAATCGATATCCATTTTTTAAATTTTGGTTTTGGAGACAAATAATGAAGAAAATTGTTGTTTTTGCGTTTTCCTATTTGAAAAACGAATGAACGAATGATACACGGATTAGTCTACAACATCTATATTTGTTTTTTCAGATATCTTTATGAGTTATGGGCCAAAAATCCAAATATATTACCTCTTGATCTATACCAGTCCCAAGTGAAATCCCCCGATACGGCGTACAATTCATGCCAAATACATTTTTAATCCTCACAATGAACCAATAAAACCAGTGCTGAATAGTGGTTTTATGACATGACTTATAGTATTTGATGCACAGCCAAAAAACAGTATATGATCCAACTATGACATGAAAGTGGTGCTAACGCGACGGTGGTCTGTGTGCGGTTTTCTTTTTTATTTTTCAATGGAACGACATAGGCCACTGTT